CGTTGTCGGAGGTGCAAACAGCAGCGTAGAAGCTGGCTGTCTGGAGGCGTCGTAACTGGTGAAAGGTGGGCCGGAGACTGAGGCGGTAGGGGCAGGGGGAACTGTCACACTCTACAACCTCTTCCTTGCTATCGAGGTGGCAGTCGATGCCAAACCACTTGTCAGGGTTGAGGTCTTTACTAGAGGCGAAGAAGTGTGGGTATCCTGCGCAGCTAATCTTGACGGTGTCGGAAAACCAGAGTTGCCAGAGTAAGACCTGATCGGCAGGTCAACCAGAGTGCCAGGGGATCCGGAATGCAGGGACAACGATCGGCGTTGCCAGTGCACGGGGGTAGCTTGACCTAATGTCGCGAAGAGCGAACACTAAACCAAACCAAAGACCAGTGATGCGGAGCAGATAAGAGCGGCGAGTAAGATAAGAGCGATGAGCGACGAATGCAGATGAAGGCTGAAGCGATGTATTGACGAAGAGGTCAAGCTGAGGAAATACAGAGGGATCTACCTAGCTTATATACCTATTCTACAGTCTACATAGCCGCGATGAGTCAAGATGACGAACAGATGGTGAAATGCAAAGAAACAATAAGGAGAGTCACAAGGCTGCGCAAAGGCTGCGCGAAGGCTGCGCGAAGAATAAAGAAGACAATAACAGAGTAACAAGGCAGTGCAAGAATGGAGAGAACAATAAGACGTAGGGCAAAGGGCATAAACGAGGCAGTGTTCCATGGGAGAAAGTGTCCGTGTCGAGGAGTAAGAGCAAAAATGAGAATAAGAGAAAAGGTGATAAGGGCGATGAAAATGATAAGATAAGATAAGGGAAAATAGGGGCTCGTACTTGCTGTTCACGACATTACCCCCCTTCTAAGCCTCATCGTCCTCGATGATCAACGGTAGGCGGCGTCCAAGTTCCCAATCGAAGTCGGTAGGCGGAGCGTCGGTGAAGTTCTCGAGTGGACGCCAGGGCAGGGAGCTGAAGATGGCGGCGGAAATCCGGCGTGGTGCGGAAGGGTGTCGTTGATGGAACTCCTTTACGATCTCCGGCGCATGCTCCAGGTTCTCCTCCGGTTCCCAACTGTCGTCCGTCGACCCGTAACCTTTCCAACTAACCAAGTACTCCAGTTTGCGATTCTTCCCTCGACCTCTCCAACGGCTGTCCAAGATGTCGTGAACCTCGTATTCAAGCTCCCCCTCCAGTTCGACAGGCTCAGGCGGAGGTGGCAAAATGCCATTGACATCATTGCCTTTCCAGGGGGAGAGCTTGTCGACGTGGAACACAGGATGAATGCGGGAGAGGGACGGGGGAAGTTCGAGGCGGTAGTCGAGGTCGCCGATGCGTTCGGTAATCTTGTACGGGCCGAGTTGGAGGTCGCCGAGTTTGCGGGACGGAACCTTGATCTGGATGTCCTTCGCGTTAAGCCAAACATAGTCGCCAACCTCAGTTGGGCTGCAATCCTTGATGAGAGGAATCAACGAGAAATCAAAGCTGTAGGCGTACCTTAATGAATGATTTCAATCGGTCAAACGTACGAGTGACAACGTCGACAACCGCAGCCCCAGCCTGGGAGGCAGCCTGTGAAACTCGTGATATCCCAGAAGCGATAGACGATGCATCTGAGTTTGCATCGTCATCATCTCCGTCATCACTCTCACCCTCGCTATCATCACTGATGTCCCCCGCCGAGTCTTTCTTGTTCCCTTTGAACCCCTCTACCCAACATGCACGACAGAATAGACGTCCGCGAAGGCCGATATGGCACGCAAACTCGCTTTGCATAGGGTTATCACCAAGAAGGGCAAGAATGATTGGGAAAGTGAGAACTGGTTCCTGGTAAACACAGTCCCAAGCCCATATGCCGTGCTCCTGACAGATGCTAGACTAAAGTCAGTCCACTAAAGTCGATTGATAGAAATCTCCACTCACTCAAGTTGTGAGACAACACCGTCCATCATTTCCAGTGGCGGAGCAATGTTAGATGTGCACAGGAAATGGATATTGTACTCTTTTTGGCACTCCGAACGAGGAAGACCAGCTGGTGTGAACAAGAAGCTGTTGTGTGCATTCCATTTCTTCGACGAGTTTCCGGATGTGTCGTCGCAATACATCCAAAGGGGGAATGCCATTACACGGTACCCCTTTGCAAGACGACGCCATCGGTTGCCAATCGTGGGGTCTGTAAGGGTCCACGCCTCCCATTGGCGTGACACCGGGTTAAAAATGCCTGTTTCCAAATGGTCGATAAACATTAGATATCACTGAACAAATGGGCGTACCAGTTATGGATGTGGGTGGAGGTGCATTGTAATACCCGTTGGCGATGTCTTGACACAATACCGGAAAGCTTTTGAAGAACTTTGAGATCGGCACCACGAACGTATTAGCCTTTGAAACCAACCACCCCGTGCCATTCCCGTCAGGACAGGCTGACCAACAGCGAGCATGAAGCTCGTATTCCTGCTGCGACCGAAGGAAGAACCAGCGTTCGGGAACGCACACGCTGCCATCCTTGAGCATGGCTGGTTCGAAGACGAAATAATCCTCCCCACCAATCCTTGCCATGGGAGTTCCCAATGAGGGATCAAGCTCGTCGAGCCATCGAGATGCTTCAAATGACTCGGAGAGTCGCGACCCAGTAGAACGAGGGTAGAAGTGGAGGTCTGGGCGGATCCGTGGATTTGCAAATTCCTATAGTGAATGTCAATTCCAACTGGGCCTCTTGATTGAAGGCGCCCTGCCCTACCTGTGCTATAATTTGGGAAAGGTCGTTGACGTAGTAGCGATGTCCAAGGGCCCCATCATATCGGAAGGACTGCACTCCCATTAAATCCTGCAGCTTTGCAAAGATCGTCGCCATGCTCGATGTCGAGGGAACGTTGGGGACGCCGTTGATCCTGAGCAACCACAAGATCAAGTCCATTTGCCGCTGGGAAAACACAGAACGAGGTAGGTGCATTAGAATATCTAAAGTACAAGCCTGGAGTAAAGTCAGTTACGTGAATTGAGACATGAACAGATAATGCCGAACCACATACAATTTTGTCTGGCCAGGGATACCAATCAGGAGAATCTCCTAGCACATTGCGCGTCCGAGCGCGTTTGGATCCTGTATCTGATGGTTCGGGGTCATCTATACACATATCACACCTTGGTCAACAGCAAACGGTAAGACAAGAACTCGACTTACCTCCAGTAACCGGCTCGAACAGGTTCTCTTCCTCAATGTCCTCCTCCGACCGGTCTCCGTCGTCTTCGGTGTCCGAATCACAGAGGTCTGGCGCATTGACGAAGTCCATGAGCGCCTCCGCCATCAACGCCGCTGTTTGTTGCTCTTCGGTCGCCTGAATCGGATAGTCGAGGTCTTCGGGATAGAGATTGTAGTCACCAGGAAGAGGGGGCGGTGGAGGGTCTGGGAGTGGGTCCTCGATAGTCGGTCCAAGGCCTCCTGGGTGTCAGACTGCGTAGAGAAGGTGGTTGAGCGCGTTTCGGGAGATGTCGGCCTCGAAACGGTCGCCTTGTGGGCGGGTTTCTGGTAGACGACGTTGCGCCTCTTCCTCCAATCGCTTCTGCGCATTTTGAGCCCGTGCACGAAGGGCGTTTTTGTGAATTGTCGTCTCTTGATGACGGATTTGCTCCGTTCCGAATTTATATTCTTTGGTGCTGTCGTTGCAAATAACACATCGCGCTCTGGCTTTCCCCCCCTTGCCGATGATGGAGGTCCAAACTGGCGCTGAATGTGAGCGATGTCGAGTGAGAAAAGAACAAACACACCTTGCTCGTCAACAGTCGCCGGTGCCATTACGTCACGTTCACGAGTTCACAAGGCCCGAGTCCCTCGCAGTCTGAAGATGGGATGTGGTATGAGTTTAGGATGCTTTCATGGATGCACTCAGGTCATTTTCAAGATATATACACTCAGGTTGAACTTTGAAGACATATATACATTGAAGTGACTCGATGCGCGATCAAGACGATTGTAGTGCACCGGCAGGATGATCGTGACCGCGTCCTGGGGACATCCCACTTCTGGACGTCCCCCGATCAAACTCAACCTCTGGCAGTGTACTCGCGTCTCTCACAGTTTGTCCAGCCGTTACAGTAGCAAATTCCATTTGCGAAAATTCTGTAACGGCTGGTTTCGAGCCTAGAGCAGGACTTGACCAGGCCTTATACCACCAACGATGTACACCAAGAATTGTAGTAACCTGTGGGCCAATTAGCGCACTCCTGGCAGGTTACAAGTCCATCTATGGAAGGTGTAATGATTGAACTCATGCTCACACCCAGAAATGTTGAATTTTCTCATAAATTATTTAACAATATGATAGAAATCAAGTTACAACTTTTATCACCTATCAATCCCAAGTAACCCCTCTAATTAGAGAGGTAGGAGGACCCCTCTGTCATGAATAGCAGGTATGAGCCCCTATTTTTTCTTATCTTATCTTATTGCTTTTATCTTTCCTATTGCCTTTTCTCCATTCTGGTTTCTGTCTTTATTGATATTCTCAACAGGGACTCTTTCTCTCATGGAACACTGCCTCATTATGCCCTTTGCCCTATTCCTTATTGTTCTTTCTTCCTCGCACTGCCTCGTGACACCTCATTATTGTTTCATCCTTGTCCTTTGCGCAGCCTCGTGACCTTTCCTATTGTTCTTCGCCATTGTACCATCTATTCGTCATCTCAACTCATTGTGGCCATGTAGATTGTAGAATAGGTATATGTCAGGGTGGGCGTGTGAAGTGAAGTGAGGCAAAGTCTGAGATGGAGGGGAGACTTCGGGGTCGGAGGTTAGCCTTGGTCTCACGTTATAAGAATGTGTACCCTTCGTCAAGGTTCCTATGGCTGGCTAGGCCGACGGACTGGACGGACACCTTGCGGCGAGAGCGCAACGTGGAGAGACGACTGGAGCTAAAGGCTCGATGGTCGAAGACGTTGAGAGAGTTAAGTTAGACTTAGGAATTCAGACAAAGGATTTACGAGTCTGTTAGGAGTCGTCCTTTCATCCCTCTTGATCAGTCGGTTGTTCATCTTGCTCATCCTGAATATAATCACCACATCTTGTTGTGAGATCCTGGATGAGTGCTTCGCGATCCCTCATATGGACATAAATGTCCATCATAAATGTCTGTGTCTTGAGGAACGAACTGACCGGGGTGACGACGGAAAGTGCTGCTGATCCCGAAATGATGGCACACCTATCCTTCATTGCAGTGAGGACTTCTTCCGGGTACAACCCAAACTGCTGCAGTAACACAAATACTCTTCGTTTCATTTCCTGCAAAGGTTCTTCCACCTTAGCATTGCAACTGGCGAAAGACTGCAGCTGGACAATGTTCATATGCCGTGTAGTTTCCATTTTCAAATCATAGGGAAGTTGCCTCCACGGAGCTGATCTATTCCTGTTAGACAAGAAAATCACACCTGATCAACAGAAATGGGATACTGACACATCATGTTCTTCTTTGTATTGTGTTGCGTTAACGCCATCTGGTCGTGATTGTGCCGTCCTCGAGCTTACTGTTACGTGCCTTCACTGTCTGACAGTCCTTGTCCCTTTATAGTTATTTCAACATGATTGCCGCTCGTAGTAGGGAATCAATACCATCATCACCCGTCCGGTTTATCAGATAACCATGTTCATCACATCATGAAAAAAACATCCCTCAACCACTATCGTCAATTTTTCTACTTCTACATGCCGCTGAATCCATGAACCTGTGAGCAGTGACGCTCCAATCAATGAAAAATCGAAATTGTACTCCAACGAAGTGTTCCGCTGTAATGGCAATGCTTCTTCTTTTCATGAATTTATTGACGATCATGACGATGTTGATAGCACCCTGCCTTTACCACTTTATTTCTTACTTTATGATCACTTCCTTTCACTTTAAAGGTGCTCTCAACCTGTCTCTCCTTGTTCTTCCGCAACGACAACGTAACAAACATGCCCTCACACTGTAAGTATGCGCATGATGGCTTTCCCTAAATAACACTAACATAAATAACAGTCCCTTTTCCTTCACTTCCCATGGAACTGCAGTATGAAATTCTAACTGAGCTTAACGCACAAGACCTCCAAACTGTCAAAGCGTGCGTAGGAAATCTTGCCTCTGATGAGATTCTTCATCGTTTCTGCAAGCTTCTGTCCAGTTTTGGACTTGATCCCCAGGCCTTCCGTGACGCTATGAAGCAATACAACGCCATTATTGCTGGTTCCGCCGCCCTTGCTGAGTACCGTCGCTGAAGTATTGTTTGGCAAAGAGCTCGCCGATGTGAATATGCTTGGATTTAGAAGTGATGGCCGGGGAATTGACTTGGTGAAGGGTCAATTTGTCGTCGCAGATGAAGAGAAATGGTTGAGGGACAGGGAAATTGTTAATGATGAGGAAGAGGCACATCCATAGGCCCTGGTCTCCTTGTCGGAAGCCCAATCAGCATCCGAGAATCCAGTGGCCGAACGAATGAGGTTTTTAACTGTCGCGTCGATATCTTTGAGAGTGTTTGGCGTTGGCGGAGATTTAGATGGTCCAGGCGGCGGACCATTGTCGCCCAATTCGACCGGAATCGTGATAGCAGCACCAGTAACTCCAGAGTAAACGCGAATGATGGTTGTATTATTTGTAATGTCGAGGTGGATACTGTCGAAGACTTCGTCCAATGCAGTCATATCGCTCCGTGTCGTGGTGTATCTGATCTTCCCTTCGTTGTCCCGCTTCTTCGCATTCTCTGCCACCCATGCGTTCACCCCCACGTCTTCACCACCCGACAAGTGACCCGAGTTTCCAGCACCCCCAGATCTGGCGAGGTTGGAAATAACGATGTCTCAAGTGACACTGAGCAGGCAATTCCTGTGAGACTGCCAGCGAAGAGCTGTTGGTGCAGGGCGAGGTCCTTTCGGCGATTTGGGACGTGAGAGATGGAGTTGAGTCCGGCTTGACCCATGGTTAGGGAGTGGTTGTTGGCATTGCGCGTTCCCGCTGTTGACAGTTTGTTGAGATGGTTGTCCAGGCACAGACGTCGTGGCGGGGTTGGTGGCATCATTGTTGGCAGAAGCCTGATGCTCGTGAACGCTTTGGGCGTTTTGATTGGGATTACCTCCCTGGTCACCAGGAGGCTCAGACATGTTCATTTTGGGGATAGAAGCTCAGGGCGAGAACGAGATTCGACAAGGCGGGTAAGATTTCAGCCGGTTTGGAGCAAACCGGGGCTCATAACCTGTTGCGGTGCAGGCTAGAGTGAACCAGACAGGGACAGGGTCAGATAGTGGTAGAGGTCTTATTCTGTAATGAGCGTGTCTATCGAGTAATTAATATGTGTGTGTAGTCATGTGATCGTAAAGGTATGGGTCCGAACGATATTCCACAACATTCTCTTGTATCCCTTGTTCCCAATTCGGACATCTTATTGTTCTACCGTATATAGACATCCGCTTTGTCTCCAGATGTATATAGGTAGTGACTGCAAGTGAGAGTTCCCCCATCCAACTCTTCCCCACTTGCAGGTATGTCCTCATCGTACTTATTTATATCTGTACTAATATCATTGAACTCTTCCCCACTTGCGGTGGTACATTGTCTTACGTGTTTAATAGGTTATGAGCCCTAGGCATAACTGATTTATCAGTATTACTGCTCGCGCCGCCTGACAACTCACGACGATCTGTTCGATCACCTCGCCTACGGCTCCCCCTTTGCTCTCTCATCGTCCAAGTGTACCACTTGACCTTGAGACCAACCCCTGCCTCATGTCTTCCCCCTTCCCTGTGCCTACAACCAGTCTTGGGAGCTCCCAGGACTCGTTAAGCCCACTCGCCACCCTCGTGCCTCGTGAGTCGTCGTTGCTGACTTGGGAGCTCCCAGTTCAACCAATTGACGCATACCCGTACCTCCACACTCTGCTATGTCATCCACCACTGTCACTACCAACAACCCACTGTCGTCCGCGACCATTTCATAATGGAAGCGGGTCTGCATCAACAAAGCCCTCGAGTTTGCCGCCTATGATATCCTCACAGGTGAAGAAACAGCGCCAACTGGCAGCGGGCAGATGAAGGCCCGCCAGCACTATCAGGAGCGACGTTCCAAGATGGCCGGCTACCTCCGCTCCACCCTCGATCATGCGCAGACGGAGACCCTCCTTGGTGATGTCGACATCCTAGATGTACCAACAATTTGGACCACTCTCCTTGCTGCATACGAGCCCAAGGATTCTGGATCAAGGACTTCCGCGATCCAAGAACTCATGAGTCATGACGCTCTGAAAGCAGGAAGACGAGACGTACGCAGATTATGGTGCAGTGTCTCTGCTGGACAACAGCTCATCAATCGCCTCCCTTCTGGTCCCAATTACGTCAAGGAAACCACAGCATCCGGCTCCTTCTTCACGTCACAAGCAACCGGCGCAACACCAGTGACAGCGGAGACCGTGGTCACCGGTTCCACCTTCGACAAGGGATACAGTGCCGTTGACCTTGTTAACAACTTTGCTGCTGCCATGATGATGATTGGCCTCATAGCTGAAGAGGACAAGGTTCTTCGTCACACACTTGCCCACCTCAAGAGCACTACGGCCAACGACATCCTCGAGCACCTTTGCCGAGCAGACACTCTCAACAAGAATGCAGCCCTTGCAGAAGCTTCAGCTGCATCTGCCCTCGCGGCTTCTAAGAAGGCGGCCAAGAAACCAAAGGCCAAGTTCAACTGCTCGGTCCATGGCCCCAACAAGTCCCATAACGACAAGGACTGCAGGGCTCAGCAGCAGAAGGCTCAAATTGCAGGAGAGGATGACGAAACACCTCCCGCTATTGTCAAGGCCCAGATGGCCCAAGTCACACACCTCGCAAGTCCCCCTTGTATCCGCTCGCTTAACACCAATACTGATGAATCTTGGAACACAGACTCAGGAGCTACCTCTCATATGACACCACACCACAGGTGGATCCAAAATATGGTCCCATGCAGAATTCCTGTCGAGCTTGCCAATCAAACACGTAGTGTGGGCAGTCGGGAAGGGAAGTGTTGTATTCTCCCCGGTTGTAGATGGCAAACCTGCTGAGTCTGCTATATTCCAAAATGTCCTTTATGTACCAGCATTGCAAAATAACCTCTTCTCTATCCTAACCGTTGTCACAAAGAGTCGAATGCGAGTGGTTATTGAGGGAAACAGTCTCGAGTTTTCAAGAGACAACAAGGTCTTATTCACAGCGAGCATCAAGGGCACTATTGGCACATTAAATGGCACAACTTTGGCATATAACGAGCAGGCATACATCACACGAGTCGATAAGCACACCCTGCACTGTCGACTTGGACACATAGACAAAGGGAGACTTGACACTCTCATCAACAAAGAGCTGGCTACAGGCATTCTCGTCAAACCAAACATCGAAGTCCATAACGTGTGCGAGCACTGTCAGGACGGGAAACAACATCGGGATCCCTTCCCAACTCACTCCAATAACTGTTCCCCTGAACTACTCGGACACATCCACAGTGACCTCCATGGCCCTCTCACCCGCACAACTGCTGGACACAAGTACTGGATTACATTTATTGATGACTATAAACGAGTGTACCTCTTGAAGAGCAAAGACGAAGCCTTCGAGAAGTTCAAGATATTTGTGGCTGAAGTTGAGAGGAAACACGAGACGAAAGGTCAAGGAACTCCGAGACAACAAGGGGGTGAATACATTGGAAAGGAATTCAATGCATGGTGCGAAAAACTTGGAATCACTTGCCAACACACTGTAAAAGGCACACCACAACAGAACGGTGTCAGTGAACGATTCAACCGAACCGCAGCTGAAGGAGTGGTAGCCATGCTTTGCCAGGCAAATCTCCCATCATCATTCTGGTCACTCGCCCTTCTCTACTATGTCGACATCCTCAATATGACTCCATCGGCATCGGTCTCCAACGGATGTAGAGCATATGTCAATATCCAGCAAAAGGATAGACAGAACCTTGACTCCCATACAACCCGTTGCATCTTTGTCGGTTTTGAACCAGGATACAAAGGATGGAAATGCTTTGACCCACAATCAAAGAAATTTATCATCTCTCGAGATATTGTCTTCGATGAGATCCTTTCCCTGGCCTATCCACAAAATCAACCACGGTTACGGTCAAACCAGTCGGCATCCGAGACATCTGGCCATATGATGATGACGATGAATGGGATACAGCACTGCATGGTCTGGGAGCACCACCTGATCCTCCAGCTCCCCCAGCAGGCTTTAGGAGTACGGGGGACACTCTGAGCACAACCACACACAAGTCAGACTCTGATTCCGATGATGGCGACACTCCTCCATACATGCCAAAACCTCGGGTCAGGAAGGAACACTCTGGAACAGACACTCCACAAGTGAAAGAGGAATTAGTAACTCCTTCTACCCCAATGGCAAAACCTCCAGTCACACGCCACGCACCTTACCATCGAGAAGAGGAAGCCTCACCCACGCCACAAGGCCGATTGCAACCACCTGTCCCACCATCGTCACCAGAACCACTGGTAGAGAATCCCGCTCCACTCCCTGCACCAAACTTTGGACAGGGAAGAGCAACCAAGCCAAAACCACCTCCACAGCCATCCCAAAACCCTCGTCTGATACGTTCCACGGCAAGAGTCATGGATTACTACACCTTAGCTGGACACTCACGCAGGGGCACTGCACCTGCCCCAAGACGAACAGCAGAGGAAAATGGTCATCCACCGAACCAGGACCGAGGGGGTGATCAGGTAGTAGATCAAGGGGGTGCAAGAGGGGATAATCTACCACCTATCACAGCCGACAACATTAATGAGGAGGACGAACCCGACTTCCACTCAGCTTTCAAAGCAACACCAGTCCTCGACTCCATCCTGCACGTCTACGGGATGAGTGGAGAGTACCTCACGATGGCTGAAGCATGTGAAATGGCACTCGAAATGGTTCTTGACAAGGTGAAGGAAAAAGCACTCGGAGCAGCCACACGACCAGAGGACTCGCCACGCAACTGGAAGGAAGCAATGGCCCGACCAGACAGAGACAAGTGGATCAGTGCTGCTAGAGCGGAAATTGATGCCCTCATTGCCAACAGCACCTGGGAACTCGTCCAACTCCCACAAGGACGCAAAGCAATTGGATCACGCTGGGTCTTCCTGATCAAGCGAAAGTCTGATGGCACCATTGACCGGTACAAAGCACACCTCGTTGCTAAAGGATTTGCCCAAGTACCAGGAATCGACTATGACCAAGTCTTCGCCCCAACCTCCCGCCTTGCCACCATCAGAGCAATCCTCGCACAAGCTGCCATGAACGGTGAATTCATCGAATCCATCGATATCTCCAATGCATACCTCAATGGAGAAATTGAAGATGAATACGAAGTATACATGGTCCAGCCAGAGGGATTCAAAGTCCCAACCAAAATGGGGGAGGATGGGTTTGCCGCCTCAAGAAGGGACTGTATGGACTGAAGCAGAGTGGTCGACTCTGGTACGAGAAACTGGCAGAGGAACTCAAACGGCTCGGATTCAAACAACTGAAGTCTGATCCCAGTGTCTACATTTGGGAATTAGATGGCATCCGAGTCACCCTGCCCGTCTTCGTCGACGATATCACAATCATCTCGAAAGACCAGAAGAAGATACAATGGGTCAAGGACGCCTTGGCAAAGGTGTTCAAACTGAAAGACCTTGGACCAACATCCTACCTTCTGGGAATTAAGGTTGATTACAATCGAGAGAAGCGGACACTGCAACTATCACAGAAGCAGTACATCCAGGACATGCTCGTCCGTTTCCGCCTCGATGCGGCGAACACGGTCAAAACACCCATGAACCCAAGCGTCCGCCTAAGCAAAGATCAGTGTCCCAAGACAGAAGAGGAACAAGAAGAGATGTGGAACATTCCCTACATGAACACTGTGGGAGCACTCATGTATCTCGCAATCGGCACTCGACCTGACATTGCTTTCGCTGTGGCAAAGCTGGCACAATTCAATTCAAATCCCGGAATGACACATTGGACAGCCGTCAAACACGTCTTCCGCTACCTCAAGGGCACCATGGATCTCAAACTCACATATCGCATGGACAACAACCCCCAACTCGCCTCTGAACTCTTCCACACATTCAGTG